AAAAAAAAAAAAGAATACTTTTAAGAACAGTATTCCTAATACCATAAAATGATGACAAATCAATAAATCTAATGATATGGTCAATTGGTATGTTCTTGAAACTTAAGGATATGCAATATACTTTCAAGGATCTGAAAAACAAGGTATTCTAAAAAATAATGCTCAATTAAAAATTTTTTTTACTTACCTTTATTTCTGCTCCCTTTGATTTTTTCTGCCAATCCCAAACAGTAAGCATATGCTCATTGGAGTCATCAATAACACATAAATGAACACCTGAATCCTGAAGAAAAGTCAATTAAAGTATTTAAAACTTTTTAGATAAGGCTGACTTTCTAAGAAGAAATACCATATTACTAAAACTGCCAACATTAAGATATAATCCCAGATCCTTTAAACTAATAGTTCCTTGAAATAAAATACTAATTATTTTCTTCAGAAATATAATGAAGATTCTTTTTAAAAAGTTTTCTATTTTAAATTTTGTTTCCTAGGTTAACTTCCCTTACCATCTAGTTACTTGTATTATTCAAATAGCAATTTAGTTTTCCATGATATACCTGACTTACATTAACACAAATAAACAAGATAAATTAAACATAAGTAACTTCTTTTCTAGCAGAATTGGCCAACTTTCAGGTCTGTAAATTTTCTAAGTAAAATAAGATTTCCATGATTCAAGCTGAAGCAAAAGCACATGTTACTGCTTATTTCACTTGGACCATGCTATATATATATGCCATTTCCTGCTACTACACTGGAATCCTAGTTTAGAAAAGAATAAAAGTATAATTAAGTATAATAACCTGTATCCCATTTAAACAAGAGTACTTTAGTACTTAGGTTAAAATGCTGGTCACTGCTAAGCAATAGCTAATAATTCAGAGTTATCACTTTCTATGAACACACACACACACACACACACACACACACACACACTCCTGAGCTTTAGCTTCTTTTCTGCTTCTTTGTGAAGCTTGCTTACTTCCTTTATTGTTACTTACTGCTTTTGAAAAATCCAGGCATCCAACTCCACGCTCAAAGGTCCCAAGTCCAATAATTTGCAGCGTGGATAAACTAACTGAATCCCACACTCTGACATGGGGTTGCAGAGGCTGCAAAAACAAGGGGAAGATAGCAAGACTAACTGGTATTCAGGTGGATGCAAGTAAATAGTACTATCACACAGAACCACATGCCATCTTTCAAAAACAGTAGGCCTGGATAAACATCTAATATAAAATAGCTACTACATTTAGACATGACCCCAAAGAATCTTGAGCAGGCATTTTTTTTCCTCATACCATGAAAACAAGAAAATAACAACACTGATAATAATAGTAGCAGCAAATGATTTAGTATTTACTATTTACTATGTCATACACTATTCTAGGTACATCACATGTATTAATTCATTTAATCCCATAAACTATGTACTATTATAATTACCATTTAACGGATGAAGAAACTTACATGAAGATTTGAACAGCTTGACCAGAGTTATACAGCTATTAAAAGGTGGAGTTAGGACTCTAACCCAGGCAAATTTGCTCTGGATACTCTGCTTTTAACATTACCTTCATTTCTAGGAAAATAATACTGTTTTTCTAGTAAGTGTCCAATAAATTGCTAACCGAATAGTTCTTAAAAAGAATCTGGAACTGAAAGGGGCCTTAGAAGTTATCCATTATAACCATTCCAACTCCTTTTCTTTAAATAAACTGAAGCCAGAGAATGTCATGGGCAAAGTCATACACATGTTAGTCATCAATAATATTCACTGCTGATCCTTACAAATAAGGGATTTATTATACAAGCCAATTTAATAATGCTGAATAGGAACTGATATTTTTAAAGTGTTATCAGTTCTAGTCATATATAAAATCAAGAGGTCCATCAACATAGTGAAAAATGCAGTATCTTCTGGCAAATGCTGATAAGTTATGCTATGTTAAAAAATATACATATATATATATATATATATAAAATAAGCTTACAAGTCCTCCCAACTTTACAAGTAAATAGTTTCCTTAGGAGAACTCTTACTTTTAGAGAAAAATATTTAAGTAGTATGATTCTCTTTTGTTTTTTGGAATCTTTTTACATGCTACTATTTTTTCCCTGCTACTTATACTAGAAATCCCTTAGCTGCCAAATTTTAAAAGAATGAAGTAAATGAGCTGCGGTTAAAATTACTATCAATTCCATTCTAATGGCACTGTCACTGGTACAGCGTGCAGAACACTATGCCACTCACCCTTCCATCTTTATCCACTCCAGCTATCTGTCCAGTTGCGATCCTAATTTTGTCAGGATGTATAGCAAGGCTAAAAAGCAGTATTAACAACAGTTTTAATCAGTTTTAATATGGGAAACATTACAAACAGCCGAAAATATGCCTTAGGATCAACATCTATCCATTTTCAAACATTTTTAATTATTAAAGAATTCTCATTGTGACCTGTTTTATTTTCTTTAGCAAATCAAATAAACATCTATCATCTAGATTTTTTTTCTAAGTTTTCAGTTTTACCTTTTCCTTCTTTGCTAAACGAAACAAATTAATGGCGCTCTAAATTTGAAGAAAGTATGTATTCACAACTGTGGCATGTCTTCATTCGTTCCAGTTCCCTTCTTTTCTAGTCCTGCACATAGGCACGCACATGCAGATGGCTTTATTATAGTGAAGCTGCAGTGCTGCACTGTGCAAATTCTGTGTCGAACGTCAGCATTTCCCCCTTCTGTTACATCATCTGTATGCATCTTATTAACAGCTCTTCTACCATTTCTACTTTTATACAAAGGAAAACAATGAACATATTCATACATAGTACCTCCAACCTTTTAGTTAGGTCTTAATGCTAAACTCTCAGAAGTCAAATTTGGGGCATGAAACTTTTAAGAACAACCTGAAAACTGTGCAGCACCTATGCCCACATTTCTCGTGATAAATATATGAGTGACTAGCAAAGTTTTTTTTTTCTTTTTAAAGGTGTCTTCCTCCACATTTAGACTCTTTCTACATCTTGCAACTAAGGGGTAAGCTTATCAAGAATGTAAATTTTTTGGGGCGCCTGGGTAGCTTAGTCGGTTAAGCGTCCGACTTTCGCTTAGGTCATGATCTCACGGTTCGTGGGTTCGAGCCCCGCATCGGGCTCTGTGCTGACTGCCAGCTCAGAGCCTGGAGCCTATTTCAGAGTCTTTATCTCCCACTCTCTCTGAGCCTCCCCTGCTCACGCTGTCTCTCTCTCTCTCCTAGAAATAAATAAAAATATTAAAAAAAAAAAAAGAATGTAAATTTTTTGTTCTTGGTATGTACTGCTCATTACTTTCCAGAAGAGTAGTATCAGTTAAAATTATCTTAAGAAAAGTTCCACTACAGCTTCCCCATATTAAAGTGCTTTTTAAAAATATATTCTACATAATGCCCATAATATCCATAAGATCTGCACTCTCCAGAAGAAATCATTTCTGAAAAACCCCAATTATAAAGAAATGCAAAAATGACAAGGAAAAACACAAGTGTTAAATGATACCAACCATTTCACACAGTCTGTGTGCCCCAGGTAGTGTCGCTGAGTTCTCTCCTCATAATTAAATAGTACTACTACTGATGCTATGAAATATACGATTTCTCCAGTAGGAAGGAGGTAAACATTAGCGCGACAGTCCTTTCCTCGGTAACCATACCTTAAACAAGAGTCAAGGTTTTTAATAAATGTCATTTTTAAGGTGTAAACTAACAGGTTTTTCACGGATCCCTAAGAGAATCAGGAAGGCATAAAGAAAACCAGAATGCATCAGAACTAGGAAACTCAAGTCCTGCCACTTGCCAGGGTGCAACCCTGAGTTTTTAACGTGTACAAAACTTAGTTTCCTCATTCCCCAAACAAATACATATTGAGTTCCTAATACGTGGCAGGCATAGAACTGAACATACAGTTCTGAACGAAACGAATGGATGCCTGTTGTCCCTGGAGCTTAGGCCCTGGCAATGATGACAAAAACAAACACCAATATATCATTAGAAATTGTGGGAAGAAAAGTAACAGTACAGAAGGAACACCTAATTTACACTTGATCTTAGCCAAAAGGCCGAGAAGCGATGGGGGAACACCTAATTTAAATGGAGAGAAAGTGAAGACAGGGATCAAAAGAAGGGCAGAGAAAATGACCTAAATAATGAATAAGACAGGGGCACTTGGGTGGCTCCGTCGGTTAAGCATCCGACTTCAGCACAGGTCATGATCTCATGGCTCAGGAGTTCGAGGCCACGATGGGCTCTCTGTTGACAGCTCAGAGCCTGGAGGCTGCTTCAGATTCTGTGTCTCCCTCTCTCTGCCCCTCCTCGATTTGCACTCTGTCTCTCTCAAAAATAAACACTAGGAAAAAAAAGTTGTATAGAATTGCAGGATTGGTGAGTTTTCCCAAGCTAATTTGTGTGGAAAGGAGGGGATGATTCAAGGGACAGGGGAAGAGGGTATAGAAGAATGGAGGCAGAAAGTTGAGGTCAAACTACTGACTCCATTCTGCTTTGCAGAATTTCTCAAAGGTTCTGAGAGAAAAATTTCTAAGTGAAATTAAGAGAGCTCTCTTATATAGTCAGTTTTTATCAAGTCTGGCTAAGAAATTAATTCTGGAATTAAAATCAACCCTGTTAATTTCAGCTCTTTATAAAATAATTTACATTACTTCACAGGTTACAAAATGCTAAACTGATGTTTTCTTATTTAATTCTTACAACAGTTCAGTGAAGCAGGAGTTATTAACTTCTTTTTATGAGTAAGGGAAGGTTCACTGGGGGTGGCAGAGCTGATTCTTCGATTCCATTCCCATGCCTTCTCCACCACACCGTAAGTACCTGACACGATGTTCACAGCACACTGTCTGCCCTATCCAAAATTATTATAATTTGGGTGGTTTTACATTGCTATTAGAAAAATACATGTAATATGTAGAGGATGAGAGGTAACATTACTTTCTCAAGTGGTTGGTATACTTACACTTTTCTTGTATAAAGACAATTTCTTAATAAAGTTTAATTATTCAAGAGAGCAGGTGTGCATGTGTGATCATGAGCGGGGGAGGAGCAGAGAGGGAGGGAGAACCCAAGCAGGCACCGTGCTGTCAGCGCAGAGCCGGATGCGAGGCTGGATCTCATGAACCATGAGAACATGACCTGAAATGAAATCAAGAGGTGGACCCTCAACCGACTAAGCCACCCAGGCGCCCCTTGTATAAAAACAATTTTGATGGAGGTTAGGCAAACTAATTTTTCTTAAAATGAAGACAAAGCGACACATTTGCTGTCACAGTAGGGAAGGATACACCCACTCCAGTTTCAGCTTCTCAGGAGGCAGTTCTGTTCTGATTTCATCATAGTTTTCAACATCAGAAGGAATGAACATTGTAATTGGTCGACCTCGCATAAACATTTTAACATATTCTCCTTCTGTTGAAACACAAGACAAAAATTAAGTCAGTTTTGTGAACACAGTAAAGTGGATTTTTTTAGAAAAGTGGATTTTTAAGGTGATATAGTAAGAGCAAGACAAAAATAGTTAATTCATAGTTCTATTCTCACATTTAATTGTTTTTTTATAAAGATCTTGTCTAATACACTGTAGGAAAAAAATAATGGTCATCTCCTTAAGTGAGAATACCTATTTTTCACAATTAAACTAAACAAGGAGGTCAGGAACTTTGAGGTAGAAAAATGCAAAAAAAAAAAAAATTATGATCGAAGTTTTTCTGACAGTTGAAAAGAAGAAATTATCAGGGCTGACAACAACTGTACCCACCACACTACTTGATCAACTTACTGATGTTTAATGACATACAAACAACATGGCCTGAGAATATATCATGAGGAGAAGAGTCAGGATGCAGTGAGAAAACAAGAGCTCTGTTACACACAGTAGGTGCAGCTGGAAAGAAGACCAACTTCCCTCAATGCATGACTGGGCTGGGTCTAAACAATTCAATTCAATTACAACATGCTAACATTTTTAAAAGACAGTGCTAGGAAACAGTTTTCTAATTAGTATAGGTTCTAAAACATCTTTTATTTACATAGAACGAATTGTTGTTTGTAAGATCTGCAAGAATCTAAAACTAAAAATGTTAAAGCCAAGTCTAGATTCAAATCAATATTTATTGTGTACCTTTTACAAAAGGAAATAAAACTTCACTAAACAGATAAGATTGTTTCTTAAAAACAAAAAACAACACCTATCCCTGGCCCAGCATTCCAATGATCTACATATAGGTAAGTTTAATAAATGTTGACAGTGATTGTTAAATAGTTACAAGAGAATCTGAATGGGAAGGTTAAAGTAAAGGATTCAGTACAAAAGCCTACGAAACATCTAGCACCTAACCAATTTGTTTGGCTTGGTATGAAAAAATAGCATTAGAAACAGACTGGAAATGTGGTCATCAACCTGAGGCTGATACAACTCTAGGATATCTAATAATGACCTAACCTACTAAGGAGAAGAGTACATAATAATTCAATAGTTTGTATAATGCAAATCATGGAAAAAGGAAAGATAAATTACTTGATGAATGTCTGCAAGTATTTCTTCAGAGTCAGATTCAACACGTGTGCTCATTATGGGTTAGAAGTTCAAGTTATTTTTATTATTATTACTCACTTGTGCTTGGCCTCATGGTTTGATCTAAGAACAGGCTAAGACCACCCACACCACAGTTTTCACACCACATGATGTAGGTCTTTACTACTTCTGAATCTAAGAGTGGGCTCTGCTTCCTGATGATTTTTAGCACAGCTGGACTTTGATGAGAACTAAATGATTACCAGCTGCAACTATTTCTTTTCTGCAATCATCTTTATCTGTGTCTCCTTGTCCTTTCTTGTACACTTCATTTTCTTACAGGGATCAATTTGTTATTAATTTTCCTTCAAGGTTTTTTGTTTGTTTTTTTAAAGAATATAAATTCTTTTTTTTTAATGTTTTATTTATTTCTAGGAGAGAGAGAGAGAGACAGTGTGAGCAGGGGAGGGTGAGAAAGAGAGGGAGTCACAGACTGAAACAGGCTCCAGGCTCTGAGCTGGCAGTCAGCACAGAGCCCGACGCGGGGCTCGAACCCGCGAACCGTGAGATCATGACCTAAGCAAAAGTCGGATGCCTAACCGACTAAGCCACCCAGGCGCCCCTAAAGAATATAAATTCTTAAAGGCAGATATCTTGTCCCTTGGAATTTCCTCCAGGATCTGTGATCAGGGGTATATATCATAAATGCTTTCTGAATTAAAAAACAAAACAATTAGTAGATGCTTCTATCACCACCAAGAAGAGATCACATAACTAGGGAAGGGAAGGGAATGGGTAAGGAATAATAGTATCAAAGAAAATAAAAGGTGTCCTTTGCGAAGAGAGAAAGCTAAGAATACCGTAATGATTCTTCTGTCAGTTATTATTTATCAATTATTCCTTTAGCAGCACAAACAACTAAGTAAAAGCAAAGGAATTATCTAGTGCTTGTCAACTTTTCTAATATAAAAATGGCAATACATGTCAGGATGAAAGTGCTTTCCCTTTCTGGAAACTGGCAGTATATATGTTGGAGGCCAAGTAGGTCATCTAGGAACCACAAACAATTCCTGAGACTGAGGAAGGCAATACATTATAGTGGAAAGAACATGAGCTCTGGAAAAAGACTGATCGAGAGATCTGTGTTCCAGCTTTACTGCTTCCTAGTTGTGTGACTCTGAACTCTTTTTCTTAATAACACAAAATGATACTACTATTTACCACCTGTGATTATGATTAATTAAATAAGACTTCACACTGTAAAGGATAATATGAGGTCCTGAAGAAATATTTATTTCCTTCCCTTTGAGAAGGATTTGTGACCATTCTGAATACTGTTTAGGAACTGCTTACATGATTTAACACACTGGAATATCTCTTCATAAGCTTTAAAACGACTGTCCACAGAATAGTATGTATGGGCAAATGACCTAGAATTCTGATTCTATCATGTACACTTTTTTTTTAATGTTTATTTTGTGTGGGGGGGGGTGAGAGAGAGAGAGAGAGACAGAGAGAGAGAGAGAGAGAGAGAGAAGCTGAGAAGGGGAGGGGCAGAGAGAGGGAGAGAGATAATCCCAAGCAGGCTTCACTCAGTGCATGGAGTCCAATGTGGGGCTCGATCTCACAACCTCAAGATCATGACCTGAGCTGAAATCAAGAGTCAGATGCTTAACCGACTGAGCCACTCAGGTACCCCTGTTACTAGAACATTTTAAATTATGTATGTGTTACACATAGGTTTCTACTGGATAGTACTTTTCAGACAGTAGTAAGGTCCTGAGGTTGGTCCACAGAAGTCCAACTATCTGACAATATACCTTACTTACAATCCAAATAGTAGACACTTGAGCTCTGGATCCCAACAGAAGGAAATCAGAGAGATTACAAAAGAGGAAGATGTTTCTCCTCTTACTATCTTTGGGAAGAGTGAATGCTAGGCAGAAATTTGAAACACTTGATGTTAACACTTCCTTTCTTTGTCCTCACTGCTGGCACTTCCCCTTCCGTCTGCTTAGGTCTTGTTAATTTAATCTCCTACTCTAGCACCTCCCCTAAGCTATCCTATCCTGTAAAGTGCTCCAAATTGCAAAATGATCTTCATATTCCTTAATCCAAACTTTTTGTGATAGTTATCTAAGGTGTTCTGAAAAAGCAGTATTGCTGAAAGGATTCATATAGATACAAACAACTGGTTATTAAAGTTACTTACATGTTTAAGTGAACCCTACCACCAACATGGGGCTCGAACTCAAGACCCCAAGATCAAAAGAGTTGCATGCTCTACCATATGAGCTAGCCAGGTGCCCCAAAGTTACTTTTTTAAAACATACTATGTAAAATTTATTAATCTTTCATAGACTAATAGTAAAAGGCAAAAGTGGAGAAGGAAGTTAGTGTTGGGCATACTCTGCTCCATGATCAGTTCCCCTAGTGCTTTTTTTTTTTTTTGGCCAAAGCTTGCTCCCTTTTTGGACTTAAGAGTTTAAAAAAAAAAAAAAAAAAAAAACACCCACAAAGGCTTTCAAAGGCAACAGCAGAGTTTTGGTTTTGGACAATGACTGTACTTGTTTGTGTAAGGGCATTGCATACAGAGAGACTTCTGAATGTCTACAGTGCTTACAGTTTAACAGATTTTTCTCCCCAAAGTTTCCATTTTAGAAAATTGCATTTTATTATTTTTTTTAAAGTTTACTTATTTAGAGAGAGTGAGCATGAGCTCAGGAGGGGCAGAGAAAGAGAAAAGAATTCCAAGCAGGCTCCGTGCTGTCAGCCCAACATGGAGCTCTAACTCATGAACTGTGAGACCATGACCTGAGCTGAAATCAAGAGTTGGATGCTCAACCAGCTGAACCACCCAGGCACCCCTCACTTTTTATTTGTATTTTACAATCTTTAGACCCAAAGAGCCTCCCTGCTAACCCAAATCTGGAATTTGAATTTTATATTTAACTATAATGTAGGAGAGAGTGATGGTATCTAATTCCAGCAAACAGAAAATTGGGGAATCTTTACTTGGTCTGAGTTTTTTCTATAGAACTAACAGTTCTATTCCTCAAAACCATGAAGCTCCAGAACGGGTGGATAAACAAGAGGCTAGAAACACTGACTATAATTTTATAGCAGAAAGTGACAAAAAGCATTTTGGGTAGGCTAAAATCTTTTCTCAAAAAGAATTTATTCTCTAAAGATTTCAAGTCCCAGTTAATTATTCAATTATACTATATAATAGTTTAATATTTTAAAATTCCAATGAAACAGTGTAATCTGCAAGAATCTCTGGACTTTGAATAAGGAACTTGATTTGTACAATAAAGACTAAATTTCACCCCTTTTCAAAGGTTTACTTATAAAAACAGATTAAATGTAGATCCCTAAATAAAAAAGGAGGATGTGGACTTAGAGAAGGATATAATCTAATTTCACAGTTTAAAAAATTCTTGGTTGGGGTGCTTGCCAAATATTATGTATTACTGTATTATGTATTATGTTTTACTTGCTAAGACAAGAACTCAGATCTGAAAAATGTGACCAAGGAGTAAAATGTTACCTTAGTTTTCTTTGTTCAGACTTCTACTGGCTGGTAAATTTTAAGGAATTCTTAATGACGTGGGGGTAGCGAGGTGAGGTGAGGGTACACAATGAAAATATAGAAGAAGTGAACCTAGCCTTTTAGGAGCTTATTACAAGAGACATTAACCAAGACTAACATAACTGCTAATCAGCTCTTACACTAATTGGAGTAAAAAGTCCACTTGTAGTTACTTTCTTGAATTTAAACCTCCTTTAACCAGATTTCTATATTTTGTTTACAACTGTGACTATCATTAATATCACTTCAAGCTAATCAGGTATGGGTGTTTGCTTAAGCATTTTGGATCATTTTTACTATCTG